ATGATAGATTACACCTCGGGTCGGACATTAACGTATTATTGGTTTATATTATAATTAATGCTAAATACTTGATAATTGCTCATTTGTATTTTGAATATATTTTAAATAAAACATTCAAATTTTCTACGTAGATTTATTTTAAGAAAATTAAATAAATTATTGTTATATAAATAGATCTATAAATAGGTGCACCAATTATCACACAAATCAGGAAATTTATTGAAAATAATRAAACTATAATTAGGTASATTATTATTTTATGTAATTATTGGACAGGGGTAATTAATGCAACACGCTAGAATAATATTTCTAATAAATTTCATGAGAGTTTCAAGGAGAACTTCTATAAAATCGAGTAGGTAATTGTAGGTACAGTGTCCTTAAAAATGCGTTAGTCAAAATTATTTTTATTTGATTAGTTGGTAGCTATTGTTATTTTATTTGGCAAACATCAACAAATGGTATCCAGTGTCCATTATATAATTTTTCGCATGAAGCGAATTGGCTCATCAATTTCTAATACACATAATACACCTAATATTAGGCACTTATTTAAGACTTATTTTTGTTTATAGACAAGACGGTTCCGAAGATTGCACGGGATCATCGAAAAGATATTATTCCTGTAATATTCAAGTGAGTATACACTTGTTACAAAATATACAGAAGTGGAAAATCATTTTCAATATAAAATCAGACATTATTCTTTTAAGCCATAGCTATATTTTTTAAACTACCAAATTAGTTTTGTATAATAAAATACTGTATTATGGATCTCAAACTTTTAATAAAAGCACAGTCAAGCCACACTTGAATAAATTTATCGAATGAACATAACATTCATGTACCTCATATTAACAAAATAAATTGAGTAGAGAACCTTAGTTTTAAATTTATGATATTATAACTTCRCCATAACAATTATTATTCTTAAATAACGCACATGTCAGTGAACATTAAAAATCAGACGTGTTTGAAATATTCATGGATTTTTATAGGAATGTCCCAGAAAAAGTCTGGATTTCCGACTGGAACAATGTGCTGCATTTAACAGTGTACCATTTGAGGGATTGACATACGAGTAAGAGAAAAATAAAAAATAAACTTTTTACTGTCATACGCTATACAATATAAATTATTTACACAGATGGGTTCCCTACACCAAAGCACCAAACAAATGTGAACTGAATTGTATGCCGAAAGGGGAACGATTTTATTACAGACATAGAAATAAAGTAATCGACGGTACAACGTGTGATGAAGAAAAATTGGACGTTTGCGTCGATGGAAAATGTTTGGTAATTTCATTATGCTTATTTTCACCACCAATAAAAATATGTTTTATGCTATAACTATGTTTAAAACGTATCTTGTWTATGTCACCTCACTRTCATGAATTTCCTAGTTGAATATATCATTCATTATTACCCTATTAATTAAATTTAAAATTTGTACTCWTGTTAATATGTTTATACCTACTGTCGTAGGTAGTCTATATTGCTTACCTATCGAATATTTGTATTTTATGTTTSAAGATATCAGACACTGTTTTACTATTTAATTGTTAGATTTTACTTTTAATCAAATAACACAATATCGTTTACGTTTTAATATTATTTTAATCTAAAAGTTCTAATTATATGAATTAATAGATATATCAATGTTTTAGCTATTTTAGCTAGATACACATACTAAGCTTGCACAACCAAATGCTAATATCATACATTTTAATCTGCTCCGAAATTAATTATTGTGATAWTAATGTAAAATACGTATAATGTGGATTAAATAAATATGAATTTCAGCCGGTTGGTTGTGATAATTTATTGGGTTCACCGGTAAGAGAAGATCGTTGTCGTAACTGTGGAGGAGATGGATCCAACTGCAACACTGTCCAAGGAATTTTGGACATGAATGATTTACAGTACGGTACGTAGCTATATAAATATTAATAATATTATGTTTTCTAACAATGTTATAATTTTATTATAATATTTATGGTTTTCGAACAAACATTCCGCACAATACTGTTTACAAAGAATGTTTTGCGTATAAGATTTAAAGTGATTTGTAGTATTTGTACACTATACTTACGTAAAATTTAAATATGCTTGAAAAATATTATTTGTATCAATTATATTATTTTTGTATATATATTATTATTTTAAATAATAATTTTTTTTAAATGAATCTTCTGCTTTTTCTTCGTGTTGATTGTTTGATAATACTTGAAATTTATTATTCGTGATATAAATTTTTTTAGGGTATACGGATATACTTCTGATTCCGGCAGGTGCTACTAACATAAGAGTAAGGGAAATTCAGCCGTCTAATAATTATTTAGGTAACTTACAGTTTTAAAACAATTTCTCTTATTTTTTATATAACATTTTATAATATCAATATTATATTTAAAGCAATTAGAAACATTTCTGGACACTATTACCTGAATGGTAATTGGAAGATCGATTATCCTAGAAGTTTGAAAATCTGCAATTCCGTTTTTCATTATGAGAGGAAAAAGCGAGCACTTTACACACCAGAAATAATTACAGCTTTAGGACCAATTTCAGAAGCCATTTATATTGTGGTAAGTTGAKTTAACAATTATTTTTCAATTTTATGTTTACTTACTAAAAACGTTATAATAATTATGAATGGTTTTTGTATTCATTCGGTATATTTTAATTGTTAATTAAATTGCATATCGTGTTAAAATTTATATTTCTCTACGGTTATGATTTATGGATTTATTTTYCACTAATTAAGTATTCATATATTTTTTTCAACCACTAACTATGTGAGAAATAATGATTTATCACAAGTCTTTAAGCTAGTATGTTCATAAACTTGACACCAATTAGTTTTAATTAACTTTTTCTTTGATAAAAATAAAACCATTCAATTAATCAAAAATTAGTATATGCT